ATTTGTCCCTGTGTCTTATACAGCGTACCAATCCTGAAGTTAGCCATGGCTTAATACAACGTTTACGGTGAGGAATTTTTATTTTATTGGAATGAGCATTTATGGCATCAGTAGTAGTTTTAGTTAAAGCAGTAGCTGCTTCATTGGCATCTTTGATATTGAATATAAAGCTAAAATCTGTATCAGATAATTGTTTTAATAGTGATGGATAATCAATTTTGAATGTTGTGGTTTTAGATGGATACCTTATAATTTTGCAATCTAAGTGAAATACAGCATTACATATAATATCGGAGCATGATCAGTAATGAACGAATCCAGTATATATGTTGCAGAATATCTATCTGATCTCAACATTACGTGGTCAATACAACTTTCGTTACGAGTGGGGATTAAATGAGCTGCTAAATATCCATGGAGAGCCATTAAATCCAAATATTTACTGCTATTAAGGTCATTATTATTAGGAGAGATATTTATATTGATATCTCCAATCAAGATAACTGATCTTACAAAAGCTAAATATGCAAGACAGAGATCAAGGCTATCACAAAATTTATTAATATTTTTTGTGAAGTTGATCGATATATGGCTAAAATGGCATATTTATTTTCATAATTTACGATAAGACCATTCGCATCAGAAACTAAAGATTTATGTATACCATGCTTTATTTCAGATTTTATATATATCAGAACACCGTCGTTTTGGTTACTATACTCAGAAGAATAAGACGTATACCCAGCAATTTCATGTATACCTGATAATTTGCTTAGCCTGCATTCCGTCAGTACAAGGACGTCGTATTGAATACAAATTCTTTCCAATAGTATGGCTAGTGCATCAAAATTAAAAGTTACGCTGTGTATGTCTTTTTACTAGGCCGCCCCGGCCGACAAAAAAAAAAAAAAATAAAAAAAACAACACCCCACTCTAGGAGGAAAACAAAAAAAATAAAGGAGGGAAAAAAAAAAAAAAAAAAAAAAAGAAAAAATTAATAAAATTAAAAAAAAAAATAATAAATTAAAAAAAAACAAAATAAAAAAAAACCCTTTATCTTACCAACCAAAAAATTAAAAAAAAAAAACCCCCCACAAAAAGAAGAAGAACCAAAAACAAAACACAACACCACCCCCCCCCCAAACCCCTTAGTGTGAAACACTATCAGAGAATTTCTAGTCTGATTAATTTGATTAACTAGGTTTTCTGGAGTGCATATCATAGAATTAGAAACGAAAACTGAATCAATGTCATCAGAGATATTATCAAGTATAACTATTAAATAGTGAATATTCAAAGACGCATATCGTTGTTACATTCAATAGATTATTTATTATAAGCTTGTATTTTGAAGTCTGTTGAATTACAGTATTAGTGATGTAGAGATTTAATGAATTAGGATGTAGGTTAGGTAGTGTGAGTGAGAGTAGTATGTATTATTAAAAATTATACAATTAAGAAAAAACTATGATAAATGTTTGTGGTAATATGTAGTAAGTTTTTAAATCAACGTAAACAAAAGGATACGAATGACTTAAACATTTAGAGAGTAATAAAATTATGTTAAAAATAATATATAAAAATCGAAGTAAATTGCTTAGTCACGAAGAAGATTGCGACTGCAATTGGTTTAGTTCATTTTCCGAATCAATCCGATGTGATGGAGCACCTTCCTTTTTACGGATGAAAACTTTCCCATAAGCAGTCCAGCAGTAGACATAGGAGTTCCTTTTACTAAACTCTCGAGCGAGGTAGTATAGTTTTTGAAAATTGGCATTGCGAGTCCTTCAAATTGTATATCTCCTGTGTTTAGTTTTTTAGTATTATTAATCCGGTTTTTTTAATTTATTTTATGTACACACATCAAGATACAGAAGCAGTCTTATAGTAATTTCTTACAAAGGTTCTACTTATTCCGTAATTAGCTGAAATATCTTCCAGTAGACCCATAAAGGAAATTATATTGAAATTGCAAACTTAGTGCATACATTAGTACTACTAAAAAATAAATAATATACACAATGTTACGTAAATTATATAAAATAAAACAATAAATAAAAATAAAATAAATCAATACATAATAATAAAAATAATAAATACGATAGTTACATATGATATATATAAACTAAACTAATATAATAGAATAATATATATTAATTAACAGGATGCAAAGTAGTTATCTCTAAGAAGTTTCTTGAATACCAATAAAAAAAAAAAAAAGTTTCGGAATTTCTTATATTTGACGGTAGTGAGTTCCATAACCTTACCGCGTGAACTGAAAAGGAGTGGGAGTAAAAACCGGAATTATAGACGGGAAAGTCAAGAAGAATTTTAACAAGGGATCTGTATGGTTTGTCCGGAGGATGGGTGAAGGAAAATCGGCTTCTGAGGTATGTGGGAGAGGAAGGATTGTGCAAATTGTTATAGAGGAGACATAACAATCGAGTGTTCCTTCGAAGTCGAATTGGGAGCCACTTGGGTTGCTTACGAAACTGAGATATACTGATAAACTGAGATATTTTGACGGATGTTAAAATCTTTTCATTTAAATTAGCAGTTGTAAAGTCTACTATTATCGGCCTATTCCCCCGTTTATCTTCATTCAAGCGAAATACATCGCGAATGAAAGAGTCTTCAATATGGGTGTTAGTAACTATACCAACTTTTTTTACTATCTGTAACAAGTCATCTTTAGTCTCGTTATGTTTGACGAGGATATTCTTTATCTCAATACTAGCCTGTTTTTGAAATCTCTCGAGATTCTCCACTTTTAATTCAAGGGTCTGAATATAGGCTAAATGCGTTTTACTTTCAGGTTCCATTTTACACAATCGATCTTTGATTTCATCATACTGTTTTGAAATAAAGTCCATGGATTAAAAATCGCTGCTCGAGATAAGTTCGGAATTTCTAGTTGCTGGACTAAGGATGGATCAGTTTATATTCTCATATCATTAAATCTGCCCATTTCAATCCTTTTACGAACTGTTTTATAAAGCATAAATAAATAAATCTGTAGAGTTTTTTTAACAAGATTATATTGCAAAAAAATGGTTCAATTCAATAATAATTTAGTCTCCATAAGCTATCTTGAAAGTAAATATTACCATTAAATTAAATACAGCAACGTCTATTTACCTCCACGACTTGAATAAATCCTTGATTTATTTAAGTATATATAAAGTGAATTTATTAACAAAACTTAAAATAAACTTGAGCGTCTACTGCGAACTACTCCTCCTGTTACAGCTGACTTTAAAACAATATAGTTTACTTTAGATTTAGTCCTTGCTAATTTTAAAATATAAAATTGATGTGTTGGATTACTGAGTAACTAGCCTAAATGACATGGGAGGAGAAAATGAATTATTGCACATCGGACAACTTTATACAAAGATTTTATACGAAGTTATTTCAAGACCAATATAATATTATAAGCTTGTCCATAATATATACCGTGGTAACCTATAATTAAGGAAACATTCAGTTCTTAATCATGAAACAGAAATATTGTAATATAAAGTAGTAAGAGACATATTGTGCAAATAAATAAATCTAATATATAAAAATGTATGCTTTTTGTTCGTATTTTATTCACTGCTATACCGTTAATCAGATTGCGGTAAAACTTTGTTAACTTATTGTTTACACTTACGCAAAGGTTATAAGGCATAGTTCAATAAATTACTGTAGGTGGCACGCGTATCGTTCCGACAAATTTTCATTTGTGGCATTCCTAATTAAACAATATAACTGTTCCAAATTTAAAACAATATATCCTCAATTATTTCTTCTGCGGCAGCAATGCAAAACGTGTACAAGCTACTATAAAACAAATAAATGTCCACAGCTGAACATTTACTTATGTTATTAACCGCTTGGCAGCTAGAATGACAAGCAAACTACTAGACATTTACTACTTTTTTATTGTGACACTTAGGAGACGAAAGGGGTTGACGGATTCTCTTAGGTCACACACGGCATCAAATTCAATACCTGTGAAGACACTCTCAGGGAAGAAGCGGTCAGCCAACGCTGAGTCTACTTCACCCGAAGCTACTTCGTTTAGAGGCAAAGTATTGGCGATGGAAGTGGTGGTGCTGGGATTAGTGGTGGCGAGGAGAGTGCACACAATTGTAGGAGGGCGAAAGATACTCTTCAAACTATTCATTCGTGCATTTTGAGTTATTTATATAAATCCTAATCGGCTTTACCGTAATGGTCATATCTGTAAAGTGTACACAATATCGAAGTATAAGTCTTGTCATGCGGTAAGAATAAAAACTATATAAGCTGTGTGTTGAATATTTGTAGCACTTTTTTATCAATCTTATCATTTATATTTTAACCCAGCCAAATTGTTGGCTACCTTGACACCTGCTTCTATTGAGCAGCAAAATAATTTTACAAATGATTTGGAATCAGTTCAAAGTAGTTTAAATTAGATAATAAGACAATAGTGGTAATCTCTATCGAAGATAATTTATATATCTTTGAATATAAATCACGAATAATTAACTGTGTAATTTCACAAAATAACAATAATGAATACTGTAAGTATTTGCCTGATGCATCAAAATATACAAGGTATGTTAAGCAAAGAACTAGAAATTGAACTATTTATAAATAGTAACCTTAAACATATTTTATGTATTACTGAGCATTGGTTGAAAGATTACAACTCCATATTTAATTACACATCATTTTGTCTTGTGTCTTGATTTAATTAGAAATTCGGAAACTGTGACACCAGATCCCTTAAGCAGAGTCTTGGGATACACATACAGACTTTATTCCGTAATATAAGATTTTGAAACTTAACAAGAATAGGTCGTGGTTTGTTTGCCATAGCTTGACGGCCCATTCGATGGCACCTTCGTATACTCGTATCACTGGTTGAGCAGTCACGTATCTTCAGCTGTTCATTGAGAACCCTTGTAACTACCAGAGCAGTATCTTCTTTAAAGTTCTCTGGTGCACCATGAAATAGAAGCATATTTCTACAACTTCTTACTTGTAACTGATCGACAGTATGGTTCAGGAGCTCCATTTGCTGTTGTAGACTGCTCAATGCTTGGACCACAAAAGCCTTGAATGAACTCCACAGCAAGTAATGCAGTGTTGGACATTAAATGGGGAGATTTACGTAACTCTTCTTCGAAGTTCGTCATTCTCTTATGGAATACCTCCATAAGTTTGGCCATGCTATCCTTAATTGAAGACTCCATTTTCGTAGTAAGATACCGATGTTGAATAGAAAATACAAGATTGTGCCAGTGGTGATATATGCTTATTATGTTCTAGTGTATGAACTTGAAAAAATACTCATGAGGTGGGTGGTACTAGTTATTCATTATATTTTAACATAAAAATGAGACAAATTACACAAAAACCATTAAACTTTAAAATTTAAATAAGAGCAAGATTTAAGCGTTAACAACTCACGACGAAAAAAATTATTATGATAATATTTATGATAAGAAATACTAAATTTATTTAGTATTTCTTATCATAAATTTAATTTATACTTTCTTATTTGCTAATTTATTTATATACTAGCTGTGCCCGCGACTTCGTTCGCATGTAATCTTTTTCTCCAATTCTTTTATATTTTCAAACAGAGTATATATAATTATATGTTTATTATAATCAAGCAGATTATTTTATACCTACCTGAACGTTAGCTTCGTGAAAAAGGCTAAAATAGATCAAATTTTTTTACTTTTAATTTTGGATGACTTGATGGCAAGGATTAGCCATTTTATGATAATATCCACATTTTAAGAAAACCTAATGCCAGCTATCTACCACCTAATCCATTTCTGGTTTTCGAATAATAAAATCTTAATAAATACAAAACAAGGAGTCAAAAAGGGGATATAAATATGCAATTTAATTTAATGGTTTTATTTATTTAATCACGGTTTTGTTAGAACTTCAAAAGTAAAAGAAAATGTAAAAAAAATATATTCAGTTAACAAAGGACCTCTTCATAAACAACGTTCACCGTTTTGTTTTGTGGTGCTAAAATAAACAAATTAGTGGGATCGCTGATACGCGACATTGCCACATAGAGCTGCCCATGTGAAAAGCAGCTGTTCGTAAGGTCAACGCCTACTCTGCTTAGCGTTTGACCCTGTGCCTTATTTATCGTCATTGCAAAGCAAACACTCACCGGCAGTTGGACCCGTTTAAAACGAAACGGAAAGTTATTCGGAATAATCGGTATTCGTGGAATAAAAACTTTCTCACCCGCACCGCAACCGGTAAGTATCTCTGCCTCAACCACATGTCTCTGGAGAGCAACTACTTTGAGCCGAGTACCATTGCATAATTTTGGTGGACTTAAATTTCTTAAAAGAATTATGGGGATCCCTACCTTAAGTTTAATTTCATGTGCAGGAGCCCAGACGCCGTTAATGCATTCAAAAACTCTACAGGATATGCTGTTACTTCTTCACGGTCAACTACTCTATTTATTGACGTATAGGTAACATTCTCCCCTTCAATACGTTCTAAAATGGTCATGTTGATACTTACAGCTTGATCATTACGAGGCGTAAGTATAGCGCGCTCACAAAGCCAAGAGTTTCCTTGGTTTACTATACCAGCCAGATCTTCATAAACAGATATAATAAGTTCCTCAATGTTAAGGACTGTTTTGCACAAATTATTAATTAAATCTATTCTACCATCAACCTCAGGAAACCTACCTTCACCAATACTCAATAATAACTGTGAGAAATCTTGAGCATTTGTGTTCTCGCCTCTTTGCGCTCGCATGTTTGTGGTGAGATTTAACCTTGTAATATGGGGCCAAAGAATTGAATTTTTTTAAACATGCGCTAATTTCATCGGCTCTTGTCCCGCGTGTAACTAATGGCAATGTCTGCCGAAAATCTCCACAGAAGAGCATAGTGACTCCGCCCATAAGTTCATTGTTGTGTCGTATATCTTGCAGCGTTCTATTGACGGCTTCTACTGCTTTGCGATGCGCCATTGTACATTCATCCCATACAATTAAGGTGCACTCACGAAGTACTCGAGCTATGTCACTATTACGTGAAATGTCGCAAACGGGGGTTTCAGTGACGTCTAATTGTGTGGGTATTTTGAACATGGAATGTGCAGTTTTGCCTCCTGGAAGTAAGGTAGCTGCAATTCCGGACGATGCCACGGCCAATGCAATTTTTCCCTGGCTACGTATTTGCGCAAGGATAAGTTTCGTAAGAAATGTTTTACCAGTACCGCCAGGGGCATCCAAAAAAAACATTTCACCAGAGGTGTTCAAAGCGCTGTTACATATACGATCAAAAATAATTCTTTGTTCGGGGGTCATGATAGGTACACCTACTTGAAGAATTTGGGCCAGTTCCTCTGAGTCGTAATTGGATTCCGTTGCATACTCTCGATTAGTTTGTTCGACATTTAAGATTGGTTCAGGTAATCCATAGCGTATTAAGGGATTACCACCAATTGAAAAAACTGTGTTTTGTATATCACACAAACAACGATTCAATACATCATTGAGCATCTCTTGATTTAGTTCACCATGTTCAAAATTAATGTAATCTTCAGCTAAACTTTTCTGGTGTTTAACCCAAAGTTGATTAGCATCTGAAAGGCCACAAAATACTAACAACACCGCAAATAAATTCCGTAAACGACGCGGGCTATCACTAACAGATGCTTCAGCGAGGGTGTTGTCCCAGTGCTGGTCGTCGTCCAATAACCCTCGAGCCCGGCAAGCAGCTTGAAAAGAAGGATATTGAGTGTTGTTGAACATTTTCAAAGCCAAAAATGATGTGGGTCCTCGTACTGTATGCAAAAGTAAACGTACGTAAAAACATTCGGAGTTATTGGGATGTACAGTGTACACTCTGCCGAGCACATGTTCTTTAAAAAGGTTGGGAAAACCTTCAACAGGAATACCACGTCGGCGACGATTAAAAATCCTGTGTTGCTTATCGTATGTATAATACGCTGGAACTTCGTCATAAAGCAAAGTTCTTGCGAAATCGTCAGATTCGCATAATCGAAAGAACGCCAGTAAAGTTGTTTGTCTAGGATTTTCTAGTTGCTCCACAATATTGTCTGGGTGAAAATATACGCGTTGTCCGCCTTCCACGTGAACGTCTAAATGCATTACCGGGGGATTACGCTCGCTTATTGGGAAACTGAATATTCGCCATGCTGCCTCCGAAGAACTTATGTATCGCCCTGATTGAAATCTTGTAATTTCGTCAAATCTGTCGTTGCTCATTGCAAGTGTTGCTTGATCCGTCCCTTTATTTACATACTTAAAAATGTATTTAATTGATTCAACACTGTTACACATTTCTACGTTTATATGGGTTTGGAAAGTTCTCGATAGCACAGGTGAGTACGGCACTACCCACCTGTTATCTACTTCTACATCTTGTCCAAACATTCTCAATTTTGTGGTGAATCCTCCATACTGTGGAGCACGCCGCCGATATTTGGGATAACCATCTTCACCAGTGATTGTTTCTCTTAAAAGGGGTCTTGGATATTTTTTCGTACATTGTCCATCCTTCATGCACGGAGAATTATTATTTAATGCACCGCAAGGCCCGTGTATCATCTGTGTTTTAACAATTTGGTGTAAAATAGGATCATTTGTGGGATTTGGTAATTCTGCACTTATTATATTATCAACGTCATTAGGACGAATTTTTTGTAATAACCATAGAAGAATGTGAGCGTGGGGCAGCCCTCTTTTTTGCCATTCCACGTTGTATGTATAGCATGACGTAGCGCCAAAAACGTTTTGCTTGGTTAATAAGTTGATTAACAACTTTAACTTTAAATAAAAAACTCGACTAATTAAATCGTGTCGATCGTACGATGCTTGACCTTCTAGCAGCTCTTGAGAAATCTCGATCCATTTAGGGTTAGTAGTTATTGTTATGAAAAGATCTGGCCTACCATACTTGCGAACATAACAGAATGAGTCTTGAACGCGTTCATTCATATTTCGGGGACTCCCGATAAAGCTGGAAGGCAATATAACTAAACGTCCTAAATTTTCTATGTGTGTATCTCCCTGTACTGCATCATGAAGATCCACATAATTTTCGGCACGCAACTGTCTCTGATGAGTACGAATGAATACTAAACGCTCTGTTTCAACTTTTGCGTACATATCAACAATAAACTGGTTAAATAAGCCACGAAATCGTTGTAAATATACAAAACGACGTTGTCTTATTTGCATGAGATAACAATAAAATTGCAGAGCCGAAACTTTTCTGTCTAACCGAGGTGCTCCTGTAGCGGGGTCAACTTGATAAACCGTAAAGTTGTAACCATCTTCACCGCGACAGTAAATAAGTGGGTATTGTAAGGAGTCGTAAGAACGATGAGTCTCACTAATTCGTTGCAGGCGGTCATCACGCGTGCGTACTATAATGTCGCGCTTGTCGCATTGCTGATCCACCAGGACAACTGCCACTTCATTGGTGGATGGAGAATTATAACGGCCGGAATGTTGCACTAAAGGTCGCTTATCCGCGCTAATAACAAACTTATAATTATTGTATTCATCTTGAGGGATCGACTCTAGTACAGCTTTGAAATTGGATACATAAGGGTTGACCTGATGAAGCATGCCCTGAAGCTCTGAGATAACATTAGCGTTTAAATTTGGGAAATTCTGCCTCCTTATATTGGCTTGTTCATGGTAATCAGAAACGAAATATATTTGTAAAAACTTTGGTTCTGTCTCAGGCAAAAGCGAACCAATTAAGTGGTAGACTTGCCCCTGCACTTTAAAAGTAGGCATAAATGTTCCATGTACCACTTGCTTGGCCCCGAAAGAAGTCATCTGGAATGCCCCATTGTATGAACGGATATTGTCTAAAAACTGCTTGGAATGTGGATGGTCCCCATTAAGTAGCGATTTAAGAGGTTCTGGGGGCTCTTGAAATATTTCCAATTGTACCTTGCCAGCTGAACAGCAAAACCCGTTTGATTCTTTAGACCACTTAAGTGATTGACAATGACTACAAGTGCGAATCATTCTTCCGATCTCGGCAAATTCACTATAGTCAATATTAAAAGTGTAGGTAAAACCACTATTTTCTTTATCAACCCAAGGGAGATCAGTGTAGTTCTCTCTGTCCATAGATGGCGGAGTAAAGGTGGGTGAACGATTTATAAAAGTACGAATACGATCAGCTTGTAACCGAATTGCACGTTCACTCTCTGTCTCGTTACTCCTAATTGCTTGCACTCTTTCCCTTTGTAAAGACAAAAGTTCGTTACGGTGTTGAAGCGAATTTTCATAATATCCCCTTGCCAATTCTAAGCGTAAGTCATGCTCCTGCTGGGTTTCATGTGTCCTACTTACCGAACGGCTCTCCCTATCTGCTGCTAACCTCGCTTCATATTGAGTAAATGATTCCGAAGCACGTGATCTTGCATGACGTTCCCGGTCTGCAGTCAAGCGTTCCGAATATTGAGTTAGCGTTTCTGAAGCGCGAGACTCAGCATGACTTTCACGGTCTGCAGTCATCCGTTCTGAACACTCCGTAAATGTTTCCGAAGCGCGAGACTCGACATGACGCTCACGATCTGCAGTCAAGCGTTCCGAATATTGAGTAAACGTTTCTGAAGCGCGAGACTCAGCATGACGCTCACGGTCTGCAGTCAAGCGTTCCGAATATTGAGTAAACGTTTCTGAAGCGCGAGACTCAGCATGACGTTCACGGTCTGCAGTCAACCGTTCTGAACACTCCGTAAATGTTTCCGAAGCGCGAAACTCAGCATGACGCTCACGGTCTGCTGTCAAGCGGTCTGAATATTGCGTAAACGTTTCTGAAGCGCGACTTTCAGCATGACGTTCACGGTCTGCAGTCAACCTTTCTGAATGCTCCGTAAACGTCTCTAAAGCTCGAGACTCGATATGACGTTCACGGTCTACTTTTAAACGCTGAGAGTAATTTGTTAATGTTTCCGAAGCGCGAGACAACGCGTGACGTTCGCGATCTGTAGCTAAGCGCGTTTCATTATTAAAACTGGACTCTGATGCCCGAGATTCCGCAGTTTGTTCTCTATTGTAAGCTAAACGGTGCTCACGGTCCTCATTTGTCTCTTGCGATCGAACTTGTCTCATCCTTTTAGCCCTTCTAGTGTATTGAGAAAGACTACTTTTCTTTTTTTGCGGCATTATTTAAAATTTATTCAACAACCAAAACACAAAATAAAATCCTTATCCGAAAATGTAATCACGTATGTAACAATTTAGTGATCACTTAACCTTAGACTACAATAATAATATTATTTAATTCAATTTAATTTAATTTAAATTTAATATATTATTACAGTCTAAAAAATCCAAACAACTAAATCCGTATCGTAAGACAAAATATCAGAAATCCGTAAATCCGTAATATGATGTCATGAAAGGTAAAAGAATAGAAAACTTAGCACACAGTATTATAGTATTATCACAAATATAACAACTTTTACAAATTATCATATTGAGTAGATATAAAATAATGTGTCATTAAGAAAACTCACGAAAAATCTTACCTACGCGAGGTAGATGTTCAGCAATGACATCTAACGGAACGTAACGGAAAATAGTGAAATAAAACAATTATCATTGTACCAATATATATTTCATAAAAAAAAATAGTTATATTCCTATTATAGGATAGAAAAGGACCTAACTAAAAATTATAATTGTTTATTATGTATTTATACAAATAATATATACAATTTAAATAATATATACAATTTAAATAGTCGCCGTGAAGTGACGTAGTTAGAGAACCATACTGTTTAATGAGGGCTAATAATTTTCTGCTCACCAGATGTCGCTAGTTGACACTGAGATAAAGTTTTTTGTTACACAATGTCATTTAATGGAGAAGTAAGTTTTTAATAAAAGTTTATCAGTTTCTAGAGTATTATACTAATACACAAAACAATGAGTCAGTGGTTTGCTGTTTAATTTTTTGCACATTTTTAACTTTTTAAAATTTTTCTACTTTCATGAATATTATGTATTTTTAATTTTAAAAATATAAAATATAGCAACAGTACAGAAAGAAACATTAACCTTTACATTTTTCGAACAAATTAACTTCCCCGCCCTGATATCTGTCAAATATTATACCTCACTTCACCTTCACAAGTGGCGCCACACTGGTGGCAGAAAAAGGTGTGGATGCCGTCATTGTAACTTACTTTTTCTTAAATGGCGCTATTATGTATTTAAATTAAACTTGATTTTCATAACGATAGACAAAATTTAAAAGCAATACATACATATAAAAAGCTTCTATAAATGTTTATATTTTTTAATAAAACTTTAATATGTATAATAAATAATTTATTAGTGCCTGAAGGGAAAACGTAACACTTTTTGCATTTTAATAATAGATGGCACTGTCTTATAAACATACAACGTAGTCGGTGAAGTTTTAAACTAAGTTTCAACGGTTAACATAGTATATTAAGCTTCAGTTATAAATATACATTACAAATTAAGAACTTTATGTAATCTACCTTAAGACTAATGACATTTTATGCACTTATTATAAAATTATAAAATTAACTCCAAAGAAAGGTAAAAAAACATAACCTTCTTTTTTTGATGCTCCGTAATCGGATAAAAAGTAGCCTATAAGTTGCCCCGGGTTCTTAACTACCCACTTACAAAATTTCATGTAAATCCGTCTTGTAGTTTATGAGTGAATCCGTAATACGACAGACAGACAGACAGACAGACAAAAATTCTAAAAACTACTAATTTGGTTTCAGTACCGCTTGTTTAGTCCCCTGGACTTGTTTTTTTCAAAAAATAATAGAATTACAGACACGACTTTTCTACAGATTTATTATATGTATAGATTTAAGGTATATATTGCCCTCTATATATTTATATATAAATTTGCAGTTTGCGTCTTGCGGACATCTTAAGGATGTTATTGTTATTAAGGAATAGGCATATATGACCTATATATGACAAAACAAAACCCTGCACAAGCATTTTGGACTCGTCGTATAAGGTGTGCGGTGCGCGCTAACAGACATGGCCCGTATACAGTGTCAGCATAATTAAGTTTTTATAAGTTCGTCAGATAAGCACTTACGTAGTTCGATACTCAGATATTCACGTATCCTGTACAAGATCTTTAACCGATAAGAGAGCAATCTATTCTTCGGATCTGAGGTCAGGGCTAATTATAACTCCGAGATTATGGGTTTTTTCCACTCTTTTTAAAGTAGTTTCTTTTATGTATACTTTTGGATTGAAATAATTTATTATAATATTGTTTAATTGTGGTTATTTATCACATTTTTTTACGTAAAAGTATTGAATACAGTTTTAAAAAAAGAAAAAAATACTCCCTCGCATAAAGTTTGACCGTCTGAACTTGTTAATGCTTGTCTATGCTGAGACGGTCCCTTCCACAACTTTATCATAGCACATTGAATACGCATAATACAATGGGCGCATTTAATTTCATTAGTCTAATTTTCTGTTTTTTGTTTGTTTGTTAATAAGTCACTTTTTTATCTTTAATTGTAATTTGTCATGTGTACGTGTAGTGTTGTTAATGTAAGTTTTGGAATAAATTTCATTGTGTATTTGTTTTTATATGTTATATTATTTTTATTTAAATTATTTCATCAACATTTACATCGTAGGTGAAACTAAGAACCATTACTTCCGTAACTTGAGGTAAAATTACCTGAAATTTAATACAGTTTTATTACTGGACATGTTTAGACCCCGCTGCCACAGGGAAAGTTTTCCTTTTAGTGCCTTCTGGAGAATAAAGGGACTTCAACGAGAAATTTATGTGGCTACGAAAATACTTTTCAATAATATTTGCAAAGGAGATGTATGAAATTGGGCTCTTGACATCGTTTGGAACAATTATACAAAAATGTGTAGTTATAAAACAATAAATTACATGCATGATTAAATAGTTTTTATTTTTGTAGTACTTGGAGCAATCAAAAAAACATTTTTTAAACTGAATAACGAAAGTGCATGCAAGTTCCTCACGATGGTCTCCTTCACATCTTCGATGTATATGTTACGTATTAAAGAAAGAAAGAAGAAAGAAAATAACTTTATTCGTTGCTACGCTAATACAAACACATAAAAAAAAAACAAACAATTAACTCAACACAAAAAATAAACAATTAATAGTAAAAAGTATTTATAAAAAGTATTTAAATTTATGTTGGATTGCAGCAACGAAAAGGACCCGACTCAGCATTATGCTACAGCAAAGAGCCGCAGCGCTGTTATTCTGTCGGGACCACTAATCTAAAACATACGAGCAGCTGTCAGACAGATTTAATGCAAAAAAAAAAACTAAAGATATTTTAAATGTATATGTTTATGTAATATAATATAAAGATAATATTCTGAAAAACGATAAATAATGAAAAATAAATAGATAAATATATTACTTTTAACTATGTTGGCAATAGTATATAATAGAATAATGAAAGGAATAATAATAATAAATTAAAATATTTATACTATGTTATAGAGCTAATTCCTGGACAATGGTGTACATCATTGACCAATATGCGATTTTGTGTATTAAGTGTCTGCGCATGTGAACTATTAGTGGAAGCTGTGAAACAAGTGCTCTGATGGAGATGGATTCTCAAGATAAGCTGTTTGCATAGGCATCTTTGGATACCATCGCCAATTGTCTGCTGCCTGCTGGCTCAAGTTGCCATCAGAATCTCCCAAGGGCTGCACCATGTGACGCATCAACATGTTTTGAAGCAGTGAATTACGAAGGATAATTATACACAAAGACAAGGCTGTATGGCATAGTTCCTTTGCCTGCTCTCACGAGCGAATAACAAAAACAACAACAACAACTTCTTGTACATGTCATCTACAAAGAGAATAAGTCACTACGGTCATCTATTTCAATTTCAATTATAATATAATAGAAATTGAATTTCATTACGTACTTTATTCTTTAGAACATAGGGAACCATCAAAAATTAAAGTAAAATAATAATAACGCAAACCACCTACCTAGTGTATCAACAACCAGTCTTTGTATTGTTACTTTGTATTTTCTTTGTTATTACGTAGGAAAAATAATAATAACGCAAACCACCTACCTAGTGTATCAACAACCAGTCTTTGTATTGTTACTTTGTATTTTCTTTGTTATTACGTTAAATTTTGAAATATACAAAAAGTATTCTTGATATCATTACTATTTACTATTACTATTTTACATCTTTTCAAAATATTCTCCATCATGCTCTATACGAAGTTCCATTCGCTTAAACCAACTCTTTTGCTAAACACTTTTGCCAGTCTTGATCCGACAGTTCGGAAATCGTTTCTTCGTAGGCATCCACGGCTTCTTCGGCGCTTGAAAAAAACTTGCCTTTTATTTTTTCTTTGACTCGTGGGAATAAAAAGAAATCACATGGAGCTAAGTGTGGGCTGTAGGGTGGGTGACTTAGAGTTTCAACACCAGATTCCTCAACAAATGCTTTTATTCTAAGGAAGGTATGTGAAGAGGAGTTATCGTGATGCAGCATGATTCCCCCAAGCCCGGTCTTTGATCTTCTCTCCCGCACAGTTTGAAAAGATTTGCAACAACGACAACGTCGACAAATATCCGCTCTGGGGAAAAAAAAAACTAGCCACAATTTTTTTGCCGATTTTGCGAGATCTTTGCAGTTTTGTCGGTAACTGTCCTTCTAAGTAGACCCATACCGATGATTGCCTTTCATTTTCCGGATCATATTCATAGATCCATGTTTCGTCACCAGTAAAGATTTCTGAAACACGCCTAGATGCCCCATTTTGAAAACGTAGACGAATTTCATGGCACCAATCCACACGAGTCTGTTTTTCGCTTTCGGAGAGCAAACGAGGGATCCATCGACAACAAAGTTTCCTCACTCCAAGATGTAGATGCAGGATGGTATGAATGCTCCCCGAACTAATGCCTACAAACTTTTCGATGTCCGTATATGTGATTCGTGGGTCTTCTCACACCAACATTTCCGTAGTCTATACATTTTCTGCCGTTTCTGCTGTTTGCGGGGCCCCGGGAGTTCTTTGATCACTTTTAAGGTAAATTTTACTCCCTTTGAATTCAGCAAACCACTACCAAAGCCACCACCAGCAAACCACCATTTTTTAGCGAAGAGTTG